ATGAAAGGTCAATCTCAGAAGGAAGAATGGCACCTTTTACATTACCTATTAGTACGGAGCAAGAAGTGATGGGAGCTAGTACGGCTTCAGACCAACCTGTGAACCATCTAGACCTAATGTAACAACGGATGGTAGGAAAAGTGTCCGTACGGCCCAAGTAGTCTGAAAGTATAGCAGAGGAATGAGTTTCTTTAAGGTTAGGGAACAGCTTATCAGAAATGACTATACATGTGCATCCAGTCTCGTAAAATGGTAGATACATTAAGTCCATTAACTGTTCCTGAACAGAAGGGTGCTTGGTCATTACAGTCTTTAAAACATCTTCCAACTTTTTGGACCTTCTTAGAAGGACAATCTGGACGTTCATGTCCCTTAACACCTCACAAATGACAAACAGGAATAAAAGAAGTCATTTTACTTTCCACTAGAGGTTTTGATTTCTTAAGGTCTGATGAACCCTTGCCCTTAGGGTTCGATCCCTTTAGGTCTTTATAGGAATTGTGAGCCTCAGCATACAGGTCAGCAGCCTCAGCAACTTCCTCAGCTTTAATCAGGTTACGTTCTCTAATGAATGTTCGTATCTGGTGAGGAAGAGCTGTCAGGAGCGGGTCAGCAACCATGAAGTCTCCAAGAGATTCTTAACTGTGATCAATTCCTGAACTCTATCCAAAAGTCGAACAAACGAAAGAGTGTTACCTGTAACTGCTGAAAGTTCTGGCCAGGCTGTAAGGTGGCATACCTGAAATCTTTCCTGTAAGAATTAGTGGTTTTTTGATATGCTTTAAGGATTGCCTTCTTCAGTAGATTATAATTACATATAATATCCTGCGACAAAGTTGCATAGATATTCAAAGCGGTACCAGAAAATAACATTCCTAACCTGGTAGCCCAGGTGTCAGCAGGCCATTCACAGAGGGTAGCAGTATTTTCAAACCTGATAATGTATGAAGTTATGTCTTCCCCCTCTGTGAAGGGAGGTAAATTAGGTGTTGGAATATGTGCACTAGCTGCATGATGTTCAATTACTCCTTCCTCTAATTGTTGTTGTGTAAGAGTTAACTTTTTATTCTCTAATTAAAGGCGAGCTTTTTCGAGCTCGCGATCCTTTTCTCTCTCCATTAACTCAAGTTTTCTAGCTTTTTCCTCACATTCTCTAGCTTTTTCCTCAACTTCTCTATCCTTTGCTCTTTCCTCAAGTTCTCTTATTTTAGCCTGCTCCTCACGTATTTTAGCCTGTTCCTCACGTATTTTAGCCTGTTCCTCATGTTCTCTAGCTCTTTCTTCACGATCAAGTCTATCACGCTCCTTTTTGTCTTCTCTTTCTCTTTCTAACCATCTTTCTTGGATTTCTCTTTCAATTCTCTCTATCTCCTTTTTCTCTTCTCTTTTGATTCTCTCTCTCTCCTTTTCTTCTTCTCTTTCCCTTTCTAACTGTCTCTCTTCTCTCTCAATTCTCTCTCTTTCAAGTCTTTCCTGGATCTTAGCACTAATGAAAGATTCTAAATTTTTCCGTTATTCCTAACTTACTTCCAGCGTTCATCCAAAACTGGTATTCCTCCATACTTGCAAGAATAACTTAAACTATCAGGGGAAATGAAATGGGTATTAAAGAAAACGGAGGGTTCAATTCCTGCTCCGCTCAAACTGTAAATAAACCAGAGGGCTCGATCCCTACTTCAATTAAACAATATGTATTAATTAAAACGAAGGGTTCTATGCCGGCTCCGAGCAAACAGTAAGTAGAATGGGGTCACTTGACCATCCAATCTTCTCACCAACAAATCAAGAGTGTCCTATGACAGTTCCCTTGATATAATAAAGAGCTCAATGAAACAAATTGTCACTGGAAAATCTCGGGTCCCTAGAGTCTAATCCACCAAAGTGTTTCACGCTCACACAAAAATAGATGGCAGAATTAACTAGTATTCCTGCCTTGACTTGACTTACAATAAATTGAGACTTAACAATCACCAAATCTTTTAAATACCTGTACTGTAGTTTCCCACCATAGAGAATGATTACTCATGGCTGGTAGTAACCGTCTGTGGTATGCGGCGTTGAAGTTCCAATGGTAGATTCGAGATGGAGTTGAATTTTGATTCAGAAGAGTTGATCCTGGCAAGGTCGCCACTTGTGAAGGCTTACTCAGCCCTGTAACAACTTCAGTCAGTATTACTAAGGCTGGCTCCTCCTCAGGAAAATTAATGTATAGAAAAAGAATAAAACTGACAAACATAAACACTTTATTATTTAGAAAATATAAAATATAAAACACTTAAATATGAAGTATTAATCCTACATTAAAGAAAATGAAAAACGAAAAATATAAATAACTGAATTCAACGCTAATATAAATGTATATAAAACGTGGATGTCTGGTGTAGGTGACACTGCGTGTTGGAAATCGTAGCTGTTGCTGATGATGGGGGGGGGGGGGGTCGCAGGTGTTGATGACAACCCACCGGCTCGTTCTTCACAGATTTTCTAGCTTTCAATAATCCTTCCAGATGACAGGAAAGCAGGTTTTCTCCACTGCAATGATGAGGGGTTATATCCTGCTACTTGCATACACAAACAGGTAAGTGGATCAAAATTTGGGACATCTCAGAACGTTAGTCCATCTCCTTCAATTCTACTCGTTGATTGACAGGTGACCCTCTCTGTCATCCAAGAGTAGTGCTGGGAGCTGTGAGTCTAGTGATTACTGTTTGGACCGGAGCCCCACACGTCACCTTTCGGGGGGGGGGGGGGGGGAAGGGATAGCGGGAGCTAGACTGACCCTACCTTAACAAGCAGCCGGCAATCAAACAATCACTTTCGGGGTGGGGGGGAAAAAAAGACGGGAATAGCGGGAGCTAGACTTGCCTTACCTTAACAAGTAGCCGGCAAGCAAACTATCACTTTCGGGGAGGGGAAAAAAGGGGGGGGGGGATAGCGGGAGCTGGACTTACCCTACCTTAACAAGTAGCCGGCAATGAAACTATTGTTACTATGTCGCTACTCCTATCTATTGAACTTTTCCCTCACAACGAGCAATTTGCCAACAACGCTGTAGGGACAATTTAGGCAAGTTAAATAAAGTACGTACATGCCGACACCAGACATCTGACTCGTCTAGGTGGCATACCCCAATGTACAAGTTATTCGCTATGCACAGTACGATTGCAGAATACCCCAATGTAACATGTTATTTGCAGAACACGCTTAGCTATGCACAGTACGACTGCAGAATACTTGTACCCAAACGTAACACGTTATTTGCACGATATGCTTAGCTATGCACAATACAACTGCAGAATACGCACATACGCTTGCAAGGTGAATACACAATAGCAAAGCTGACTGCAAAATCTTCGCACAAGATTGACCGTAGCGAAGCGAGCACACCGAACAAGCTAGTAGCGAGCTGTTGAATGATCATACAATAGCAAGGCTGACCATAGCAAGGCAATTGACATGCAAAGTTTGTAAAATGTTGGCAAAGCTAATGCAATGCCAGACAGCAAGCTACACAATGTTCCTGCTTCCAGCGTCACCCTAGGCTCAACCCGTGCTCTAAGTCCAGCTCCAGCTCTCGGACAGGCTACCCATATTACAACCCAGGAGTCCCAAAGGCCTGTTGTCCTGGGTGTAAAGGGAGCAAAATAAACAGCAGAAAAACTTTTGACTTGTATTATCCTTTACCAATTTAGAACAGAAGTATGTACACTATATACACCATGCACAACAATAGGTATTAGTGTACTCCTCGGTAAGCAAGGCAGAAAAGAAGCCACTAGAGCAGACCGTGCTTCAACCAGCTCTAGAATGGGAATGACAAGGGCAGACAGGTGAGTGGTACCCAGAACCTCTGCGATTGCCAAAACCATCTTCTCATTGGCTGGAACCTGGGTACTGATTGAACGACGGGGCCCCATCATTAACCCTTAGCACCTGGTTCGCTGGTTGGGAGAGACAGCCTTTCAATGAGGGTGTGTACATGCGCCGAATATAGGTTACGTACTCTTTGCATGCCACAGTAGCCAAGATGAAATAAATTGCAAGAGTGGATATTTCAGAGTCAAGAAACTGAGGAGTCACAAATGCAGAGGTCATAGAGAGAGAGAGTGGGAGAAACAAGAACACTTTTCTTGATAGGGAGCATGGTAAGAAAAGTAGTAAATGTACATGCCACTGTGCATAGGCTTGGAAACTTTTATGGAGACAAAGACGAGTAGTTGACCTGCACGTTGACCTTGGTCTGAGAACCACATTAGCCAAATTCGTCTTGCATAGATGTCTTTGACATCACCTCAAAATACAGGTAACACTTGCTTCAACTTGCTTCTCAACCTATACACAATGTTTTGTCAATTTGTATGACATGATAAAGCCCAGTGTGGAGGTAAAACATTGTCTATCATTAAGGTTTCCTGTGCACATATTATATATTATAATCAAAAAGAAGCACTAAACCTTCCTCTGCACAAGTTGTATTTCTATCATGCTTTTCAACAATACCTACCACTTGACACAGTTATCTTTCCTGATAATCTACAACCTCTATGTGAACTAACTTTTAAATGTCAGTGAACAATATTCATTTCTCTGATAACCACTTTTGAGAATAAATGGATTAAAAATGGTGCCTGCACTCTAAAGGGTGGGAATGTTGCAGTTGGAAATCATCTACATTGTGATGTCAGCACACTTCTAGGAAGACAGCCATTGAATGAATGATGCATGCATTTCCTTTTTCGAGTCTTCCTACACCTTGGTGGGAAATGGCAGATGTAAAAAAAAAAAATACACTCATGTACAGTACCTGACAAGTTATTCATGTCTTTCATACCTGTCTTATACCTGAAATGCATTTGTGGAGATTCCAACACTACAACTTTTAGTGATCTTAAATTTTAAAAAATTCTACCAGATTATTTCCATGCTGGTAACAGATGGAAAACAAACCATGATCCCCAATACATTACACATAACATTTTACATTAAATAAAAAGAGCATGATAAAGCTTTTCTTTTATTTACATCTACAAATAACAGGCATTTGGCCTGTACACTAATTTGATTCATTTCCTTGGCTCTGCTTAAAAATTTCTGCAATGCTTAATTTCTCTAGCTTCACTTGTTTAATGTTCGGGATAGTGGTCAGCTGCTGTTCTGGATGCTGCTGCTCATCTTCCTGTTCTAGTGATGATTCAGTCTGAGGAAAATATATTTACAATTATTTTTGGATAAAGGCATCAAATAATGTGAATTAAATTACAGTACAGCAATTTATCTCTTATTCAAACCCGTAACTGTCTTCAAGAGGAAACTAGACAGGCACCTAGTCAGTACCTGACCAGCCAGGCTGTGGCTCATATATTGGATTGTGTGCAGCCGGCAATAACAGCCTGGCTAATCAGACTCTGATCCACCACTAGGCCTGGTCATGGACTGGGCCATGGGGGGGTACTAACCCCTGGAACATCCTCCAGGTATACTGTATTTATTTAAAAATAATACAGTTCTCAAATCCACTGATTTGTTTTACTAGTACACAGAACAAATTAGCAGTTTGTGTAGCTTTCTTTTTTTCATGACTAACCTTGACAGGGGCACGAGATCTATCTAAATAAATCCCTTGGGCCTCCAAAGCCAGTGCAGCTTCTTGCATGAGTTGATCTTCTGGGACACTTCCTTTTGCCTGCAAATGCTCATATTCCTTAACGAACAGTTGGCATACAGTGGGGCGAGGTTTCTGGTCCGAGAGTTGGGCTGTTCCATACGATCCATACCTCTTATAAAATTTTCTGTAAATTATACAGATAAACTGTTAAAAACAGAGATGATGGGCCGGAACAATATATCAGAAGAAATTTCAAATACTGCACAGTATTATACTGTAGAATACTAATCATCCCAACAAAATTGCAGGCTTCAATACTCATGGATTTCGATTATCCATTTTTCTTGATGGGCAACCACCAAAGATTCAATTATCCAAAAAAAATTCTTGCTAAATGACTTTCCTATGACCAAATCCCTTTTGTGTTAGTGTGACTTTGTAAACGATCCAAGTCAGGCTGAAATATAATCGTTGGGTTCTCTTTCCTATGTGCAGGTTATTTGTATATAAATCCCTTTCTTGCTGTAGTCATTATTTCTTATCAAGTCAATATACTTGTGCACTATTCACGGTTTTCAGATTTACAAGACCTCAATGAATATAATCCCCATTAATCTGAAAAGACAACTACTAGATATACAGTAAGATGGAGAGAAGGTTCTCGGATGAACAATGAGGCTTTAGAATGGGGAGGGGATGTGTTTGAAGTGAAGAATATAAGTAAAAAACATTTTGATAAAGGTAGGGAAGTTTTCACTGCATTTATGGATTTAGAAAAGGCATATGATAGGGTGGATAGGAGAGCAATGTGGCAGATGTTGCAGTATATGAAATAGGTGGTAAGTTACTATATGCTATAGAGTTTTTATGAGGATTTTGAGGCTCAGGTTAGGGTATGTAGGAGAGAGGATGATTACTTTCCAGTAAAAGTAGGCCTTAAACAGATGTGTAATGCCACCATGGTTGTCTAACATACAGTATTTATAAATGGGGTTTTAAAAGAAGTAAAGGCAAGGGTGTTGGGGAGAGGGGTGAGAGCAAAATATGTAGAATCTAATACAAAATGGGAGCTGGCACAGTTACTGTTTTTGCTGATGGTATGGTGCTTTTGGGAAATTCTGAAGAGAAGTTGCAAAGGTTACTGGACGAGTTTGGGAGGGTGTGTAAAAGAAGGAGATTGAAAGTGAAAATAGATAAGAGTAAGGTGATGGAATCAAATGAGTTAGGCAAGGAAAAATTGGATATTAGATAGGAAAGAGAGAGTATGGAAGAAGTGAATGTGTTCAGATATTTGGAAGTAGACATGTTGATGTATGGGTATGTGAAAGACAAGGTAAACCACAGAATTGATAAAGAAAAAAGGTATGTGGTGCACTGAGGTATCTGTGGAGACAAAGAACATTATCCATAGGTGCAAAAAAGGAAATGTATGAGAGAATAGTTGTACCAACACTCTTATACGAGTGTGAGGCATGAGTTGTGAATATTGCAGTGAGGAGAAGGCTGGAGGCAGTGGAAATGTGTCTAAGGGATTTTTTTTTTTTATTTTAACATTTATTATCACACTGGCCGATTCCCACCAAGGCAGGGTGCCCCGAAAAAGAAAAACTTTCACCATCATTCACTCCATCACTGTCTTGCCAGAAGGGTGCTTTACACTACAGTTTTTAAACTGCAACATTAACACCCCTCCTTCAGAGTGCAGGCACTGTACTTCCCCTCTCCAGGACTCAAGTCCGGCCTGCCGGTTTCCCTGAATCCCTTCATAAATGTTACTTTGCTCACACTCCAACAGCACGTCAAGTATTAAAAACCATTTGTCTCCATTCACTCCTATCAAACACGCTCACGCATGCCTGCTGTTTTCCACCAAGATAGGATGGCCCGAAAAAGAAAAACTTTCACCATCATTCACTCCATCACTGTCTTGCCAGAGGTGCACTTACACTACAGTTATAAAACTGCAACATTAACACTCTTCCTTCAGAGTGTAGGCACTGTACTTCCCATCTCCAGGACTCAAGTCCAGCCTGATGGTTAAAAACCATTTGTCTCCATTCGCTCCTATCTAACACACTCATGCATGCTTGCTGGAAGTCCAAACCCCTCGCACACAAAACCTCCTCTACCCCCTCCCTCCAACCTTTCCTAGGCCAACCTCTACCCTCCTTCCCTCCACTACAGATTTATACACTCAAAGTTATTCTATTTTGTTTCACTCTCTCTACATGTCTGAACCACCTCAACAACCCATCCTGAGCCCTCTGCATAATAGTTTTGGTAATCCTGCACCTCCTCCTAATTTCCAAACTATGAATTCTCTGCATTATATTCACACAACACGTTGCCCTCAGACATGACATCTCCACTGCCTCCAGCCTTCTCCTTGTTGCAACATTCACCACCCATGCTTTGCATCCATATAAGAGAATTGGTATAACTATACTCTCATACATTCCCTTCTTTGTTTCCATGGACAAAGTTCTTTGTCACAACAGACTCCTTGGTGCACCACTCGCCTTTTTTCCTTTGTCAATTCTATGATTCACCTCATCTTTCATAGATCCATCTGCTGACACGTCCACTCCTAAATATCTGAATATATTCACCTCTTCCATACTCTCTCTCCCTCCAATCTGATATCCAATATTTCATTACCTAATTTTTATCCTCATCACCTTACTCTTTCATATACGTATTCACTTTTAATTTTCTTCTTTTACATACCCTACCAAACTCGTCTACCAACCTCTGTAACTTCTCTTCAGAATCTCCCAAAAGCACCGTGTCATCAGCAAAGATCAACTGTAACAACTCCCACTTGGAAGTGGAAATAAGTCACTCTTACTTTTTTGGGTTATCTTAGGTTCTCTACACATATGCTGCTATGTATGATAATCTATGTAACTGTATTTGTGTATACCAGAATAAACTTACTTACTATCTTTTAACCCCACACCTCTTGCCAACGCCTGAGCATTCATTTCTCTTACAACCCCATCTAAAAAAGTGAATGCTAGGGTGTTGGCAAGAAGTGTGGGTTAAAAGATGAAGAATCTAACACAAAGTGGGAAATGTGTGGCACAAATATTATGCAGAGAATTCATGGTTTGGAAATTAGGAGTAGGTGTGGAGTTACTACAAGTATTATCCAGAGGGCTAAGGAAAGGTTGTTGAGATTGTTTGGTCATTTAGACAGGATGGAGCAAAATAGGATGACTTGGAAGGTGTATAAATCTTTATTGAGGGAAGATGGCATATGGGGTCACCCTAGGAAAGGATGGAAGGGGGAGGGGGTAAAGGAGTGTGTGTGTGAAAAGAGCTTGGACATACAGCAGGCATGTTTGAGCAGGTTAGACAGGAGTTGGCACAAATGGTTTATGGGACTTAATTAGCTGTTTTCGTGTGATCAAGGTAATATTTTGTGAATGGATTCAGGGAAACCGGTTAGCTGGATTTGAGTACTGGAGGCGGGAAGTGCAGTGCCTACACTCTAAAGGAGGGGCTTGGTATATTTGCTGTTTAGACATCTAAATTGTCATATCTGCGTGCTTCTAGCAAGACAGTGACTAATGACCCATCCCTTAGGTATGACCTACTTCTACCGGGAAATCCCACCTACCAGTGATAATGTCTTATCTGCTACACGTCCCTCACCACCTGAAGCCAGTATATAAGCGCCAGCTAACACTACCTGTGCTTCAGACTCTTCATGACTGCAGTGCTCTTCACCAACTCCAAAGCTGAGGGACTGATTACCTCATCTTTAGTATATAGTTGTACTGTCTTCCTATTATGTCCTTGCATCTGTATTGATAAAGCTACTGGTTGGCAAAACATCTACAATAAAGACATTATTGTGTCCTTATTACAAGTCGTATTACACTTCAACATCTACAATAAGAACCAGTATTACACATGTCTAATTTTCATCTTGTGTGCATGTGTGTGCACGTGCATGTACACATGTGCACACACACATACATGCACACATGCACATGCACACACATGTACACATACGCTGGCACACGTATGTGTATGCACATATGCATGCACACACATGCACACACACGAGCACAAACACACATGCACACACATATATGCACACACATACATGCACACATACACAAACACACATACTTCCTAAGGATGTTAGGAAGTATTTCTTCAGTCACAGAGTTGTCAGAAAGTGGAATAGTCTGGAAAGTAATGTAGTGGAGGGAGGATCCATACATAGCTTCACGAAGAGGCATGATAAAGCTCATGAAGCAGGGAGAGTTACCTAATAGTGACCAGTGAAGAGGCAGCGCCAGGAGCTGTGACTCGACTCCTGCAACCACAACTATGTGAGCACACGCACACAAATGTACACACATGAGATTTAAGGAAGTATTTTCAGTGGAGACAGAAAGGACTCCAGCAAACCAGGATGGAAGGGTATACCAACAAATGCTGGACACACACACATACTACACACAACTGAGGAAGAGATGAAGAGGCTGCTAGGTGAGCTAGATACCTTAAGGGGCGGTGGGCCCGAACAACATCTCAACGTGGGTCAAGAGAAGGAGCAGAGGCATAGTGTGAAAAACTAACAACAATCTTCAACACAGGGCAACTACCAGAAGTGTGGAAGGCAGCAAATGTAGTCCCAATATTTAACAAAGGAGATAGGCAGGTAGTATTAAAATACAGACAGTGTCACTGACATGTATAGTATACAAAGCCATGGAGAAACTTATTGGGAAAAGACTGGTGGAGCACCTAGAAAGGAATGAGCTTAAACATGATAATCAGCATGGTTTCAGGGAGGGAAAATCCTGTCACAAACCTAATGAAGTTTTATGACAAGGTGACAAAAGTAAGGCAGGAAAGAGAGGGGTGGGTAGACTGCATTTCCTTGGACTGTAAGAAGGCTTTCGACAGTTCTGCACAAGAGACGAGATTACTGCAAAAGCTAGAGGAGCAGGTGGGAATAACAGGAAAGGCACTGCAGTTGATCAGAGAATACCTGACAGGAACAAAACAATGAGTGATGGTACGTGACGAGGTGTCAGAGTGGGGGTCTGTGATGAGCGAGGTTCAACAAAGGTCAGTCCTAGCGCCAGTGCTGTTTCTGGTATATGTGAATGACATGATGGAAGGGATAGATTCAGAGGTGTCCCTGTTTGCAGACACTGTGAA